TGTGTTTGTGGCTGTGTGATTTTGTTTAGCTTAATATTTCTCTCATAATACCAGGCTTAATCCCTAACACAAGAAAATCTTGAAAGTTATGCTGCACATTAATGACATGTTCCGTATATGCTTTCATCACAAACCTGCATGCATCTGGCAATTCTTCTGGTTCCGGAGGATTTGGAGCCATAAAGCAGAAAAATGTGTCCCTCCAATTAGCTGCAGGTGAACTATACAAATCGAAGTTGCTATTATACACAATTTTTCTCATAACATCACGCGTATAGAATTGTTTCTTCACTTCAGTATCTTGTTCAAAAAACCTGCGTACGCCACAAACCATCTCGTCCAGTACACTAACTGGAATCCCATGATTAACCACCTGAAAAAATCCCCAAGTTTCTGAAGCATGCCTAATCTTCTCCACAATTGAATCCTTTCCAATACCTTCAAGGTCTATTACAGGAATACTAAAATCTTCCCTATTTGTATCACTTGTCTGTACAACATTATCAGGGGGAGTAACGAAAATTTGAGGGATCTTTTCGACTCCAGCATCAACAAGTCCTTTGACACCGGTTTTAGCATCGTCGAAAGCTTTTAAAACTCGTGCACGATCATATCCAGCGACCTCCATTTCCTTTTCTTTAATCTGAAGTAGTTGATTTATCAAACAGGCATACACTGTCTATATATTGAGATAGATAGTTTTAGCAAGTTAATGTATTCAAATGAAGCAACTGTTGACTTTTAAGATGATGAAATGCTAGTAGAAAAGGATAATCAGATTTTTTTTTTTTTTTTTGTTCATATTGTGGTCCCATTTAATTATTGAAATAGGCAGTCAAGATTCAAGTTGATCGTTTTTTGCAGCCGCCCTCCATTATTTTTGTAGGCCTCCGTAAGAGCTAGATTGTATAAGAAAGAGTCCAAGTGCAAATTGAAGGATGAGGCAGATCATATGTAGCAAATGATGATTGTGTGCTTCACTTGTATAGACTGAGGACATTTGCCGTCATACCATCTATCATTTCCCCTTTTTTGGCTTGGCAACTATGATACACCGATACTCCAACTAGGGTAACTTGTATGTCCATAACCAACACATCATTTCATCTCGAATATTGATACTCAGGGACGGAGCCAGACGTCATGAACTGTGGGGTCAAAAAGTGAAAATTCTGAAAATTCTGGTCATAAAAAAAAATTGTGGGGTCAATTGACCCCACAAGACCCCATGTGGATCCATCCATGTTGATACTCCTCGAACACTCGATGGTATAGATCCAACAAGTCACATTCAATGTCCTTATATATTTTTAAAATTTGTGATGCTTAAGGGATATACTTTAGGAACATGCCTTGAGTAGGTGTTTGACATGACACGTTCAAGTCTAAAAATAAAGATGCAAATTTATTTAAAATTTGGTATTTTTTATAGGAAAAATTGCATTGGAAGTTCCAAACCTTTCAATTTGCTACAGAATACACTTTAACATTTTATTTTTGTTATCTCACTTTAATAGCATCCAGAGTCCACTGGACACATTCCATCCAATATTTTGTTAGTTAACCTTGAAATTAGATGTTTGACTCAAATTGACAAATTAAATGAAAGGTAAAATAGTAAAATTATATTTTTTATAATAAACAATTAAAATAATTAAATAAAAAATGAATTGTTCATCTACTCCCACCCCTACGCCCAAAACCCAAAATCAGAAAACTAGTCACCGTCGCCACCCATCCACACTATGCCGCCCACCGTCACCACTGCACACCGCCACACCGTCGTACCCAAATCTAAAACAACAGCACAAGCAATCTCACTCAAATCAAAAATAAAATAAAATAAAATTGCATAAGCTTCTCTCCCAAGATACTATGCTATGTTTGCTTTAACTCTTGGTGGAATTTTCTTCACTCTTTGTCAAATTAGTGTTATAATAAATGTTTATTTATGGGTTATTTGAATAACTGAATCTTTATTGTTTGTTTTGGTATGGATTTGAAATTGGGAAGTTTGTGATTCAGCCCCAAATGTGGCACCCATGGTGAAGATTGCTATGAAATTCAATAGTTAGTGGTACGACCCATCCCGAATCACCCTAATGGACTAGAAACGTAACGTGCGCCGATGATAGATACTAACTAGAAGTCAGATCTACAACCTAGGCTGACCATGAATAGTAAATATGCGTCAAAATCAAATGCTTATGAAAAATTAATGCAATGGCCCAAAATAATTACTTGGTGCGCTATCAAATGTATCATATCACTCAATATATCATGTGACTACCACTTTGAAATCATCAAGCTCCCCCAACTATAAAGAATCAATTGCTACCTGTAGGAAAATTGTGGAAAAATATATGAGCTAATAGCTCAGTGAATGAAAAATTTGAAAAATAGTTATACTTTCTCGTTTATACATATTTATCGAAAATCGAGTTCATATTATTTAATTGTTCGCAATATAACATCAGATAATATTAATCAAGTTATGAATCATTCTCGTAATACTGGAAAATATCATCACATAGTCACGATAAAATCATCATTGTAAACTTGAAATATTTCCATTTGAAACTTCATTTTTTATTGTGCCCTTGACACACCTACTAGGCACTGGATAGAGCTCTCCGCAATATCAACATCAGTGATCAATAATCAACTGAGCACAATCGAGTGAATCATCCTCCGTGTTCATCAGAGATACATCATCTAACTGCCTCCATGATCACCCAAGAAATGTCTCACCAGAGATGTCAATAATCACAATATCGCAGTCATGTGGACCATCCTCCTATGACCACCAGAGATACATCCCCTGATAGCCCCCATAATCACCCAGTAAGTATCCCACCCAAGGTACCAATAATCACCATATCACAGCGGTCCACGGTCAAGTTGTCAATCATTCCATGATCACCAAAGGCACATCCCATATCCACCCTTGCAATCACCCGAGAAGTCTCACTTGTGGCCAAACACAATAGCATGTCTTGCATGCCTTGGTGCCCTAGTAGTGGTCAATAAAACATACGTCTCAATTCTAATTCACAAATAATCCATGTACAATCTTTGAAATTTCACATATATCATAATGAAAGAATATTTCCACAATAATCACGTAATTAGACAAATGATTCACATAATTACATAAAATGTATAATAGTATAATTAAT